GCTTACCGTATTTTTTGCCCTATAGGACACCCTTTTCCCCCCTCCAAAAATGAAGGGGAAATGTGTGTGCATCCTATGGGGCGAATGCAGGCTTTCGCTGAAGCCTGGAGAGCGAGAGGGGTCGGTGCGTACTTCAGGAAGCTCTCCAGGCTTCAGGAAGCTATCCGCAAGCCTTGAACGCCCAGCGGGAGTTCCCGCGGGCTTGCAAGGCTTGCGGGCGGCAGCCTGCAGCCCGAAGCACGGGGCCCCCTCCGGAGGACGCCCCGTGCTTTGCGCAGGTGTCCGCAAGCCTTGCGCGCCCAGGGGAACTCCCCCCGGGCGCGCAAGGCTTGCGGGTGGCAGCCTTCAGCCCGGAGCACGGGGCGCCCTCCAGAGCTTTGCGCAGGTGTCTGCAAGCCTTTCGAGCCCGGCGGGAGTTGCCGCCGGGCTCGCAAGGCTTGCGGATAGCAGCCTGTTCTGGGGGCTGGGGTCGGGGGAAGCTTGGGCTTCCCCAGCCCCGCGGCTGGGGGGGGATTTTTTTTATTCATTCCCCCCCCCAAAATGAGGTGCGTCCTATGGGCCAGTGCGCCCTATAGGGCGAAAAATACGGTAATTTAAATAGCTCTTAACCAGGCATCCCCAAATTCGGCCATCCAGATGTTTTGGGACTACAACTCCCATCATCCCTGACCACTGGTCCTGTTAGCTAGGGATGGTGGGAATTGTAGTACCAAAACATTTGGAGGGTTGAATTTTTGGGGTGCCTGCTCTGTATTATCTGCTGTAATAATAATACTTGTATGCAGAAAGAGGATGGCAGAATGTGACATCCCCGGCCCTCCTCTTTTTACATCTACAGGGGCTCAAACACCCGATTGTAAAATATGGTCAACACGCATATCCGAAAGTTAGTGACAAAATGATGATTGGAATACTGTTGTTGTCTATAAAATATATAGAAAGGATTGAATAAGTTATATTCTGAGAGGTCTTACATTATAAGTCAAAGATAACACAAAGTGCAGTAAGTTATCATTATTATTTATTGATATGGAACCATTCCTGAATATACTGCACCAATGTATGTGGAACTAATTCAGCACCAGATTTAGGGCAGTACAGGTGGTTTCCCCGCACAGGATGCTGAGCTGAGGGGGCACACTGAGACTTACCTATGGACAAGACATCCTTGTTGTCCATAGGTAAGCCTTGTTGGGGCCGGTGCAGCTCCAGTCGCTGGTTGATCGTCCTCCGAGGACGAGAAACCTAGTGACCCAAAGGGGGGAAAGGCACAGATTAAGCATACATGTACCAGGAAGTGAGAGTACAGAGAGAGAGCATGAGAGCAAGTTTGGAATTGAATAAAGTTCTTTGTTTTATATTGCACCCGATTGGTTCTTGACACCACCTGGAACACATGCTAGAGCTGTGCACAAATGGCTGCTCAAAATCCTATACCTTATTTGTGGGACGAGATATTGGGGATAGGGGAAGAGAGAATTTCACCCAATTTTCCTAGCCTGGGGAGGAGAAATTCTCCAGTTTCTCAAGAGGGGAGGGGAGTAACCACCACCAGTTGCAGGAGCGAAGCATCTTTCTTATTCCCTCTTAGCTGCTGTATCCCAAAATGGCAAGAACAGCAACTGGCTGCCAATTTACAGCCTTCACAATGACCGCAACTCAGCATCATTTCAGGGGGCGGGAATTGCAGCCATAACTGGGGGGGGGGGGGGAGAGAGACTATTAAGAGAAAATTCTGCAACATAACCTTTCTTTTCCTATGGATATTTCTTAGAGTAATGTCTTCTGAGAAATTTTAGCTCCAATCCAGTACAAACTGTTTTAGAGTGTGCCATAATTAAAACAGAAAAGCAGTCTATAATCTGTTTTTTGGCAGAAGACAAAACAAATAGGGAGCAGAGAGATGCGTAACAGACAGGTGTGTGGTAGTGTGGAGATTGAATTCAGTGTGTGCTATGGAATGCAACGAGAGAGAAAATGTGTTAATTGAGAATAGGTTAAAAAGAAACACTGAGTTCAAAGGGTAACAAAAATAATGTTTTCCCACAATTAACATTGTTATGTACCCATCTTAAGTTAGTAAAAATAAAAATTGAACCAGAGGCTGAGGTTGTGAGAACTGTGGATGGGTCAATTAACAGGGGGCAGATTTGACAATGGCTTAGTGTGAAAACAGTCTTTTCCAGGACTTGAAAAGGTTTGTACAAATCCTCTGGTTTTTCATTACTGGTTCCTCTTTGCAGCCACTGCATTTGCATCTGTTGTCGATGTTTGGTAGTAGCAGTATCTATGAGAGAACATGGCCCACATTTTTTATTGCAGCCTTGTTGTTGTTGTGTGCTGTTGCACATTCTGCTGCACATTAGCAGAAATTTTTTAAACACCCTTGCTGTGCACTGATGTACTGATTAATGCCTGGCTTTAAAAACAATTGCAAACGTAAAAGGCTCTTTTAAAATCCTGCCCTGTGCGCTAATGCTCATTAATGGCCTCTTTTCTTTAAGCCTGTTGCTGTACACTAATGCGTATGCTAGTTCATATTAGAATACTTAAAGATCTGTTGCTGTGCACTGATGCACATAACTGTCTCAAGTTTTTTAAAACATTCAAGATACCTCAGCTGTAAACCTTTTTTTTAAAAAAGTGACCCCTGTTTTCAACCACCCAAAAGAAGGTGGGGGAAAATGTTTGTGACACTCAGACCCTTCAGTTCAACTTAGTTCTAGGATATCAGAGGCACTGGGCGCAACCCAGCAACATTAATCGAGAATAGTCAATACCTTTTTTTTTTTAAGGGACTTATGACGACTCCCTACTAACTTTTTTTCTGGATTGTAGCCACCATATTTCTAAGTCATAGAAATGAGGTAACCAACATGCTGTCTTCTAGATGTTGTTAGGCTGCCATCATCCCTGACCACTGGCCAAGCTGGCTGTGGTATCTGGAAGAAAGTTAGAGATATTATCAGGAGCAATATACTATGAGGAACTATGAGGAAACATCAGCCCATCAGCACCGAGAACTTCTTAACATTTATTTTGAGTGTCATTCCATTTGTCTTGAGAGAGCACAACTGATAAGTTTAGCTTCCAGCATTCAAGTTCTGAATAAGCTACAAGAAACATACCGAAAGATCTGGGTGTCCATGGGCTCATTTCGCTGACATGTGGAAATGGAAATCCTTCTATCAAAAGAGATTTACATACTAGAGCCAAGAAAACTAGTAGTGTACATTGTGCCAAAGAGAGGGTATGATGTGGTCAGGCTTCTTAACGAGGCTTGTAGGATTTCCCCTAGAACATATTGCAGTGCCAAGACATACAAAACCCACAGCAACCCCAGAATAGAATTAAAATCACTCTAAATAAAAAGGCAAACTGAAACCTAACTTGGTGGCCTTGGTAACTCAACTGTCTTAAGTACAGCAGCTGGGAATAATGCCCCCCTCCTTGTTCAGGAATGGACAGCTGCATATCCTGGACTGGCTGAAATAGTATAGAAAAGAAATCAACTATTTCCTATATGTCAAAAACATTCATCTAGGACAGTGGTGTCCAAACTTTTTTCAAAGAGGGCCAGCTTTTTTTAAGGATTGAAGTTATTGAGCTTTTTTAAGGGTTGGGGTTGTTGAGGTTTTTTTAGGATTTTACCCTAGGTAATAAACTGCCACAGGGGCCAGATTAAAACAACAGGTGGGCTCAAAATGGACTTTGGACATGCCTGATCTAGGACATATATGGACTTGCCGAAGAAGAGATTCTAGCTTGCACTCAAACAAATTCTGCAGAATGAAACCAGTTCTCACTAGGTGCAGATTTGGAGTGCATCTGGACTACACAGAAAATAGAAATACTCAGACTGTTGGTGCTAAAATAAAATGTGTGTACTCAGCCCAAAGCATGCACACCCAGAAACAAAGTATATTAGATCTGGAAAGGAGATAACTACATTAAACATTTGCAAGAAACAAGAGAGAAAATTTACCAAATCGAGAAGGTTACATGTTTTGGTCTTGTAGTTCACAACAGCTTGGAGTTCACATTAAATAACCCTGTGCATGTTTCAAGTGGTGATAATTATCACTAAGGATCAGGTAGGAGTACTATAAAACAAAATATTTTATTTAAACAAGCTTTCTTTAACTCATAACTCCCTCGTACTCTTCCTCTGTACTGTCTGTACTGAATCACTTCCTGGTAGCTGTTCCCTTAACGTGTGACTTCCTTCTGTGTCGTTAAGTTTCTCTTCCTGACTGCTGTCCTAACCCTCTTACTTAGTCCCATATGCAAGTAAGTAGCAACTGGCTATGGCAGTCTCGTCTGCTGAATAATACCTACACCTGCATGTGCAGTTCATATTATTTCCCAAGCACTCTATTCATAACACAGAACAGAAGGGTGTTACAATCTAAACAAATTTGGGGTCTGAACCAGGTGGTTACAAACAATGGCTCTTTCGCCTTTATCATTTCACCCTATTTTTCTCACTAGCATTTGTTTCAGATATAGTACCACTCATTGCACTACTTACAAATTTGCTTGTTCAGCTTGCCTGCTCCACAACCCTGTGAGCTCAGACTTCATGCAGATACTTTGTCTCTGGTGTTAGCAGATTCGCAATCTGCCCCCACCCCAATAAAAACCAGCATCCCAAACCATAGCTCAGCCTCTATCCTGTCACCCTAAACTCATATCCTTAAATTTCCACTTACTAAGATGTCTAACTTCCTGGAGTTGTTTCTGCCCATCTCCTGTGGTGGCCAGGCTGCTATCTTCACATTACAGCTAATCACAAAATCTCACTACAGAGAGCTGTTCCCTTCCCTCTCACCTAGGTGAAAGTAACAACTCTCATATATTGATAGGAAAGGGTTAAGCAAGGCTGGGGGATTCCTTTGTCCTTCTGTTTTCTGACTCTGATCAGTACCACTAGCCAATAGGAGTCCTCCTTATGAGCCAATTAAGTAATTTAGGATTTTGGCTGCCCTTCTGAATTAGTATCTGCCTGTCTGACCATCAGGTGCATGAATTTTCATCTGAGCCAATCAGATGCCTGTTCCTGGATTGCCTGTTCTGCACTGATCTTTCCCCACTTTTTTGAGCAAGCAGTCCTTTGGAGCCCCCCAAGGGAACAACGGTGCTATCCTGTTGAGGTATGATTTTACAAAGGGGTTGGGAATTGTGCAGAAAGAGTGTGTGTTAACAGGAGGGTGTTCAGTATTTCTAGCAAGGATTTGTGTATACAACAGAGCAGTCAGGGCCAGATTTAGGTTTGATGAGGCCCTAAGCTACTGAAGGTAATTGGGCCCTTTATATGTCCAGCTGTCCTTTGTCAGCAACAAACTGTTGCTGTATTTTGTGTTGAATATATGCTATATGGTAATTTGTGGACCTAATAGGTATCTAACCAGTGATATTTTAGGGAGCAGGCTAGCAGGCGGGGCCCATTACTTACATCATAGGAGCCTACACCACACAAAACACTGTTGCTGTATGTAGGTTTTATTTTATTTGTTTTTTTATCTTATATTTTGGAAATGGATATCCAGGGTTTTTTTTCTTTGGGGGGGGGCAAGATAGTGGGGCCCTAAGCTATAACTTGTTTAGCTTATATGTAAATCTGGCACTGCGCGCAGTGCTTCTCAATCGGTGGCCCTTGGATCATGGGGCACTTTTAGGGGGATCTCGGGGCCATACCCTGACCATTGCCTCCTCAGTGCCCCACCTCCTAGCTATGACAGGCTTTTGGCTGGATCAGCAGCAGCACCTGCAACGTTTTGTAAGCTGAGTAAAAGGGGAGGGGGAAGAGAATGTCTCCTTCCTCTGAAGAGAAAGGACCAGAGGATACACTGAAGGAAATTAGAACAAGCAAAAAAAGGTCAATATTGACTAACTTGCTTAATAAACTGGAAATGGTGAGGAAGGGGGTAAGAGAGAAAAGTTCTTAAAATAGGACGAAGTGGTTGTAAAAGGACTGGAAAGGAGGAATGAAAAGAAAACCTGAAGTGTTTTTTTTTGGGGGGGCTTGTCAGTGGGGAATAAATTACAATATGTGTGTGATAGGAGAATGGGAGCAGAAATTACAGGACATGGGTAAAAATACTTTGAAGGGCATGTGGGGGTCGGAAGTGAAAAATATTAAAAGAAAAAGTATTTTCCAGTTAGAGCCTCTAGATCAGCAAATTATGCCTAAAATGGGGAGGCTGAATCACAATACTTCCAGAGCAAATACCTATACAGTGGTACCTCAGGTTACATATGCTTTAGGTTACAGACTCAGCTAACCCAGAAATAGTGCTTCAGGTTAAGAACTTTGCTTCAGGGTGAGAACAGAAATCGTGTGGTGGCGGTGCAGTGGCAGCAGGAGGCCCCATTAGCTAAAGTGGTGCTTCAGGTTAAGAACAGTTTCAGGTTAAGAACGGACCTCCGGAACGAATTAAGTACTACCACTGTACTTAGTGTGAGGAGAGCTGAGATGCAGAACTCCTTGCTACAAGGAAAACACTGTAGTAAAGAATTTAGCCATTTCCAAAGATTAACTGACACCACTTTCTTCTGATACCCATTAAAATGCTGATGGCTGCCACCATTTTGTGACCAGCTGCCTTTGCTCCACCATTTTGTGACTGGTGGGCCTAAGTATTGTTTAGGCCACCTCTCAAGCAGGCCTTGAAGGTAAACTGTTTCAGAACCTCTGCAATTTTATTTTATTTATATCCTGCCCTTCAGCCCAAAAAAGCTCAGGATAGTAAGCAATAACTGATAAAACTTTATTAAAACATTAAAAACAATTCCATTATAGATGCAGACTGGGAAAGAGCTCAACTTAAAAGACCTTTTGAAAGAGGAAAGTCTTGGTAGGCACTGAAAAGGCAACAGAGACCGTGCCTGTTCTGATATTTAAAGGCATTTAAATAGTTTGTACGTGTAGAGACTGAGGATAAATTTGGATAAATTTGATTCAGCTCCCATTTAAGGGCCACTTTTTCAAAGTTGCACTTTCTAATAAAGAACCACAACCATTCTTTCGAGGGCCTTCTGGCGGTTCCCTCACTGCGAGAGGCCAAGTTACAGGGAACCAGGCAGAGGGCCTTCTCGGTAGTGGCGCCCGCCCTGTGGAACGCCCTCCCATCAGATGTCAAAGCGATAAACAACTACCTGACATTCAGAAGACATCTGAAGGCAGCCCTGTTCAGGGAAGTTTTTAATATGTGACATTTTAGTGTATTTTTCATCTTTGTTGGAAGCCGCCCAGAGTGGCTGGGGAAACCCAGCCAGATGGGCGGGGTACAAATAATAAATTATTATTATTATTATTATTATTATTATTATTATTATTATTATTATTATTAGAAATTCGCTGGCAAGAATAAAGCACGGTCAGTTTCTCTCCACTGTCACTACTGCTCTTACCAAATAGTCATCCAACAGTACAGACAAGACCAAAATTACATGCTGCATTAGCAGGTAGAAAATGCAGTTACATATAATGGGACATCATAGAAGGAAAGCAAATAGTGAGCAGTGGATGGACCAACTTTTTATACCTCTGGTGAGGCTCGTATACAGCAGTGTAACGGGCAGATGTTCAACAGGCATAGCTTTTCTTGGTATAAACATCTTAACAGAAGCAATAGGTTTCTTGTTTGATCCTAGTCTGTTGTTCAGCTGTTAATCCAACTATGGGAAAAGTATTTAATGCCATAGCCTGGATTAAATGGTTTTTGGGATTTAAAACTTTGATGCAACCTTCCACAATTGCTTTACTTAGAGTTGAAACTTGAGTATACAGTTGAGTGCATTTTTAAAAATTGTTGAAAAGTTTGTGGGTTGTTTTCTTTTTTACTTTTATCTGTCAATTAATAAGCAAAAGAATCACATTCAAAAATTACCAAAGGGGAGAGAAAATACCAGTAGAATTCTCACAGGTGCGAATACATGATTTATGCTGCATTTACCTCATTTTTGAGGTGACTGAGAAGTGCTTGTGTTCATTCTACAAATTATTTTACCAGTGGTCTGCTTTTATTAGCCTTCCCAGGCATCCACACTTTCTGGAAACCCCAGGTTGTGGAGTGGGTTTTCCTGGAAGTTGGGAATGCTACCCACCATGTGCATAACAGCAAATCATCATCATCATCATCATCGTCGTCGTCGTCGTCATTTCATTCCCCCCTTTTTTGCTTTTAAAGTAATCCTTGCAGAAAGTGTTTGTTTCCTTTTAACTTTTTTAATAAGAAAGGACTTCCCTTAAAAACCCAACCAGAAAACGCACCAATCATAGGCGCTTGATAGCCAGCCTTGCCAGTGCCCTACACTTCAATTACAGCCTAGAGAAAGATGACATGAAGTAACTCTCCCCATTGAGCATTTCAGATCAGGGAGTGTAGACAGCCAAAGAGACTACAGAGAGCTGGAGAAAGGTTTAACAGAAACAAAAATACATACCATTCCCTCAATCTCCTCACAGCAATAAAACCTTAAGTTCCTATGAATGATGTAGAAAATCAAAGGCCTCTTACATGGGAGAAGGAAACTTTCAATAAAGTGGAATACAGGTTTTGGCAAAGCACTTTAAAAAAATCAAAACCTTAGAGTCAACAAGATTTTCTTAGCTTAATTTATGGCGGGGGGGGGGGTTTATCAGAAAGTCAATTCTGTGGCTACATGGTTTTCATCATTGTTACAGATTCTGCCCCTGGAAAAATCTCATGATACCCAATCTCTCATCCGTGGTTCTGTGCTGTCTTCACTGCTCACCATGATAAGGGTCAAGCAGATGGAAGAAAGAAATGATTAAGGTAGGTTTGTTTTGTTACAATCAAATTAAATTCTAGGGATGTGAGAGAAAAGTCTATGCTGTAGTCTGAATTGGTATGTAATCCCACTACTTAAAACTGTAATGACAAAATTAACCCTGCACCAGTAGTTCCCAACCCATTATTTGTAGCACACTAGTTGAGTTACATACAAGCTACATTCTTGTGTGAGAGCCATGATAAGTTGTACATTTTTTTAAATTGTGTAGAAGAAGTAATTGAAAAACATATTGTGACATAATCAGGACTGTCATCAGGTATCCCGCAGTCATGCACCTTCACTTTTGCCCTACAACTGTCTTATCAACAGTGCACTGTTTCCTGAATCCACTCTTTACTAAAGATTATCCTCTCTTTTTTATGTCACCAGCTTAATGAGATGTATTATAGCCCAAGGGGTTTAATCAGTTCAAAAGAACAGACGTTACCTCTTAAGAATGCGTTCACACTTTTTGTAATAAATTACAAGGAAAATCTTGCATAATTAGAACATAAACTTTAATGAAGTTAGACCTGTAAGCAAACCATTAAAAAAAACACACCACATGGGTGCTATTGTACAATGTTTACAGGGTTATGCATTCACTTTCACATTAAGCACCATTTTTAAAAGATTGTAATGAGATAGTTTCCTTGTTAACATAAACAATTTCCAGAAGAACCACAAATCAACCAAAACCTAAATAAATATTTCCTAGAAAAATGAAAAATAGTGATTTCTGACAGCTCATAAAAGAGATTGTGAAGAGCAGTATAAATCTAAGCATTGGGACTAAAAACACTCTTATTTTTGATTATTCTAAAGAAGAGAAGAATGATCTTTGTTTCCAGAAACAGTAAAGTACATTCCAAAGCTGCTTTTGTTTTTAATTTACAGAAGCTCTCGATTCTAATCTACTAAGCCAACAAATAATCTGTCCACTAGTTTTCTCCCCCCCCCTTTTTTTTCTGAGTCTCATGAAAAGTACACACAATTGTTGACATACGGGAGGAGGAAAATACATATTCCTTCTCTGTTATTATGAATGGATCATTTCAATGCAAGTGCTCACTTGCATAGCTCTGGAACTTTGAAATCTTGTACTTACTTACTTGTACTTACTAAACAGAAGAACCTCTATCCTCATTCTGTGAGTATCAATGGAAAAGTAATTTAACTTAATCCAATGGGGAAAAGTTAAGGTCTGTGCCACTTAAAAGAGGGGAGGAGGAAGACAGCAAGGACCTCATTTCTGTCTTTTAAAGAAAATGTTTTATCTGAATGATGTTCAGTGGGGGGTAGAAACTGGCAACTGACTGTGCAATGGGACAAACCTGGCCCCTGAAATAGTGCCATATTCTTTACTTGCTGCTTTGAGTGTCTCCACCACTCCCTCCTCAAGTGGCAGTGAGTCCTATGGAAGAGGGAAACACAAAGTGTGAGTAGGAACAGACAGAAGAAGAGCCAAAGGCTACCTAGTCCAACATCCCATTTCCCACAGTGGTCATCTAGATGCCTCTGGGAATTCCACAAACAAGTCATAAAAGTAACACTCCCCTTCATTGTTGTGCACAAGCAACTGGTATTCAGAGCCATGCTGCCTCCATTCCTGGACGTAGCACATAGCCATCAAGACACCGAGCTAGTTTGCACATAATGCTAAGCCATACAATCACTGAGTGTGAACACACAGTGTGGGGTTTCTGGAGAGGAGATTGTAGCTGTATTATTCTTTCTCTGGTCCTGTTGCTACTGCGATCTAAGCCATGGCGTGGTATGTTGTCTGAACACAGGCTTGTGATTTGTCTGACTCCAAACACACACTGTAACCAAGGTTTGTTCTTGGGATTGTAGCTGAAGGATTGTCAGGAGGATTAAAGCCATGAGCCTGGGTATAGATGAAACACAGCCAAACCAGGGCTTAGCTTGCAGCAGCAACAGAAACGGGGGGGGGGGGGGGAGTGCAGTGGCTGCAAACTTCTCTACATGCAGACCTCCTCATAGAGTCCATAGGCAGTAAGCACTTGCTGTTTGTAGGTTCCTTAGATTTAAGAGAAGATTTGGAAGTTTCACTAGTTCTACAAGGACAGAGTCTCTTTTCTATGGTAAAGACCCTTTCTTGACCCATCTAGCCCCTTTGCTTCTGTTATCTGCACTCAGAAAGACCCAGCTGGCAAACTGGATTTAAATTTTTCTTTCTATAAAATTCAGATTCTAGGCTTAGGAAGTCAAGCATTTTCCTCATTCAAGGACCTCACATAAAGCCTCTTTTAATTTGCCCTGTACAAGATGGACAACACCATCTCTCATCTGAAATGGAAAACGGTTACCTTGGTGGCTTGAATCCACCATCTATGGCACTAGAACTAAGACCTTTCACCTGAGTTACACGGAATGCTCACAAGTTTCCTTTCTTGTTTTCTGCATTCATGTTGTCCTGGCAAAGTAAAGAAGGACATGTCATTTCAACAGATTTGCTGTCACAAAAATAATACATTTGCTGGTTGTTTTGGGGTTTTTTTGTTAATTCATAGAATCACCTTCCACAAAAATTACATAGCTGTCAACTTTTCCCTTTTCTTGCAAGGAATCCTATTTGGAATAAGGGAATTTCCCTTTTAAAAAAGGGAAACGTTGACAGCTATGCCAAAATATTGTACACAAAGCTTATGCAGAGTTGCTGCAGCTTTCATTCCCACACCCCAGCCCCTGAGTCTTGACTTACATTCTGCTTGAGGCACATTTACTCAGATGCAGAAACCACTCAAAGAGCATTTATGTTAGATTATGAGAATGCAAGAAGATCTTGTCAAGCAAGGTGACAAGATTCACAGCAGAAGAAAATTTGCAAACTGTCCAAGACATTGTGCCAACATACCCAGGAGTATTCCATCTACTGTACATTCAGCCATAGAGACAGCAACAGTGTAAACAGGAACACTCCTATTTGTAACTAGAGTGCTTGTGAATGGCTATCAGTGTCCATACTGTTTATTCTGTTTTTGTTTTGTAAATGATCGCTGATCTCTTGTTGCTAGCATAACGGTTCACTTCAATTCTGCACCTTACTTGATGGCTCAGTCACATTTTCACAGGTGCTGTCTGTGTGCTTAAATTGTGACAATAAACCTAAATAGTGCTGTGCCACATGCTACTAATGCACTCCATACTGTCAGTAAGCTTATCTGGACTGAAAGAGAGTTGCCTTTGCAGAGAAACCTAAGTCATTGTTCAAAACCTAAAGGCAGATTTGTTTCATCTTGTAGTTGCTTTTCCACAAAGCTTGCTGGGTAGTTGTGAGGATTAAATGAGGTAACTCCAAATAGAATACCCTAACCTCACTGGAGGGTAAAATGCTTTACCAATGTCCTGTGCTGATTTCATCTGAAACATCCAGTGAGAGTCTACAGCAGGATTGGGAAACTTCTGACTCATGAATCTAATTAGGCCTGCCACAGGCCCAGGTTTGAACCACAAAACCCAACCATGCTCACTGAAGTCATATGTGATGTCAGGTGTGGGGCAAGTAAGGATGCTGCTTCAAAGAAACAGAGCTTACTGTGAGCACCTCTCAGTGGATTGGTAGTGACAGTGAGCCCCACTGGGATTAGCTTCACTTAGGAGTTCCCTACCCCTGGTCTAAACTATAACATGCACTACCAAGTACCATACAACCTGTGGCCTACCAAGAATCAAAGGTGGGATTCACTTAAGGAGCCCCATTAGTTTGCCCTGTTTGCACAATGGGGTTCTGCCCCATATAGTCTGCCACTCATGGGCCTTGGATCTGGTGGGGGGTAGGGAGAACTCCCAGAAGAACATGCAGGGGAGGGGAGGAGGGGGGTCATTTCAAGTGGCAAGCTGGAATGCTTGTGTGGATGGAATACTTTTAAAAGCATGATGTTGAATACTACCCAATGTAGCATGCAACCCACCAGCCATATATTGTACCTGATACCCATCACCGTTTTACAGTCACAGGCAAGCAGCAAAGCCAACACATTTATCAAGCCTCTGATGGGCTTCCTAGATGGTGGGCTTGGTAAGCTACACACAAGTAAGCCTGATATATAGGAACTATCACTCTCCGGTGATGTATGCAAACTGTCACATACAGTACATACATCTGAGAGAAGATATGACTTAACTGATTTTATATTTCTTATTAACCTGGCAGTTTCTTATTTCTTACTTACCAAAACCAGCTAAGAATAGTGTGCCCTTAATGCTGCTTACTAATTTAAGGGCTTTGTAAGTTAGCTTTTAAATTCTGGCTTGTAAACTACAATGAAATTCACCAAAATAGTGGTAGAAACTGCTTCATTGTAATGTCATCTAAGAAGCTCTTCATTTTAATCTGTCTCCATGAGGTGTGGCCTCCTGCTGAGGAATACACAGTTATATCGTTAACATGGCAGACCCCACTGAGAGATACAACAGCCCCAGTCATAGATGATAATGAAACAATGACAGGTTTTTCTAAACGAGACTTTATGAAAATCCACTCCCGTTACCGCTTGGGAGAAGCATTCTTACTGGGATATTTATTGTAAAATGGGTGGGGAGCCTGTTTTTAGATCACAGCTTCCATTATCCCTGACCACTGGCCATGCTGGCTTGGACTGATTTGAGTTACAGTTCAATAACATGTGAAGGGACGCAGGTTTGCTTAGAAATGTCCTAATAACTCTCATGGTCAAGTAGGCTGAACAAGAGTTGGTGTACAGGGAAGATTAGAAATTAATGTAAGGGACGAAGGTGAGCACTTAAGCCAATGGAACCTGGAAAGTACAAATGACCCAGGAAAACTAATTCCATGCATCAAATAACCAGCAGAATGTCCAAACACAATCAGATTAGCAATGTATGTGAAAAGAAATGTATGAGTTGAGGAAAATATGCTTCTACACATGAACATGGTATGATATATATTTAAGCTGTCATACACCTGGAAAAGGTTGTACATGAAATTGGCAAATTGATTGGCTTCCTCCTGAGTCTT